GGGTAGTGACAACAATAAAATACTAAAGTAAGTTATTCATACTCATTAATTTTCTGTATTTTGTTCTTCTAACAATGTTGGAAGGAATCTATACAGAAGTTCTCTTAGGCTAATCTCCTCTCTTGGATGTTTAACCTCCCTCCTGATTTTAAGATAAATAAAAAAGTATAAAAGGCAATTGAGAGTTGTGTGGAGTGGAAGATATTAAACGGCTTTATGGATAGGACTCTTGGACCTGCCAAGTGTTAATTGGTGTCTGCCCCGACTGCAGTACAAATAGGCTTCACAGCCAATTAGCTTGTAGTCATCAATCTTTTCTGCTTGACAAAGTGAATTAATATGTTTCAGTCTTCAAAGTACAACAGTTACTAACAGACCAACTTGCGGATGACAGCATATCAAAGCTGAACTGAAAAAAAATCCTTTTTGAATGGCATCAAAATGTTAGCATTTTCTGAATGCCTTTGATGCTATCAAGGGATAAGCAAAATCTTAATATGGCAAGGAGGATGACATTCCAGAAGTTGAGATAGTGTGTGTGTTATTTCCTTACTTAGTGATGTAAACCTTCACAACATCATCTATCTCTAACATAAAGCCTGTCCTATTTACTGTTAGTTGAGAGATTTGCTGCCAGAGTCCACTGGAGTTGGGCAGCTAATAAATTCAAATATATAAATACAATTTAGAAGATACTGTAGAACAGGGTTCCCCAGCCCCCAGTCTGTGGACCAGCAACGGGCCGCAGCATGCCAGAAACTGGGCCATGCAAACAAGCGACGCCCCATCCATGAGATGTAGGCAGCACACAAAACCATGTCTCCTCCAATCTGTGGAAAAGCCTCTCTCCACAGAACTGGTCCCTGGTGCCCAAAAGGTTGGGACTGTTGCTATAGAAGATATTGTAAGAATTGACTTAGGGACAAAAAGAGGAAAGTCAAGTTTCCTCACCAGGAATGTATCCCCAAACTTCACCATTTAACCTTAGATGTGAAATTTAGCAATTAAGCAATTATAGAAACAGTGTGCAATTCTCAGGGGTCCTGCTCTCTTTAACAGTGTTTTAAAGATTTCTAGAATGGATAGTTGCTGGAATTATTAAGGGCTTTTAAATTAATACTTCTTTAATTATTTTTCACAATAAAGAAAACCCAAATCCTGACTTGCCATGTTTATCCTAGAATATTTAGACAAAATTTGATGCTGATCCAAAAAGAGGAGGAAAGAGCACAATTTAAGGGCTTTGCATGTCCTAATATACACCATTGTCAACTTAATGAAATATGACATTTTTAAAATTATAATATAGTGAAATGAAAGATAAAAACACACAAGTATTTCCCTCATTATTTTTTTTTTACTCATGGTTAGAAAGCAATAATGGAAATGACATGTATTAACAGTACTGAAAATCTTCATGTCCGCAAATACCTCCCTTTTGCTGTAAAAACTATTACCTAAAATATAAATAAATTTTGTTGCTAGGTATATATGTTGAAAGATTAATTGTGTAAAGAGATGAGGCAAAGCAATTGGCATTTAATAAATTCTCATGTACATATGATACATATGTGTACACATATGTAGTTTCTCTATATAGAAACAAAATATTACTTGGAGTAAGTAATCATATTACTGTAAATCAGGTGTTTCAAAACTTTTGGCTTGCCTGAGCCTCCATTGAGTTAAGAGGAATTGTCATGGAATATAAAATATATAATATAGTAAGTAGTTCTAAAAATCACATAATATTAAAAGTTTATGATCTTGTGAGGTCATGTTACTAGCTGTTCAGAGCTGCATGTCGCATGGGCTGGATATACTTGATCTAAATAATTATCTTGTTTAGCTCATCTGTAGCTTGCCATACTTATGGCTGAGTGAGTTGTCTGACTTTTTGTAAACCATCATAAAGTAAACCATGGTTCAATTCAAGGGGATCCCAGTTACTGTATAAATGTTAGACAATTGTTATAAGGTTAGATTTAATAAAGCATGAAATAAAGTTACATGTATTTCCAAATATTTTATGTATACTTGCGTTAGTTTGTCCACATACATGTTGCCCTGCATGGTAAAAACAAACAAGACTCTTTCTAATTGAAAATACATATTACAATGAAATGTGTTTAGGTCTATTGAAAAAAGCACAGCCAGAAATATCAACAATGAAATATATGGTTAAATAAAACTATCCTTTTTTGTTATGCAACTCTTAGACTGTTTGATTTAAGAAAACAGCATTTACAAAGAAGATTTTAAAAAACTTTTCTGACTTTATAGTCATTTTTCTTTTGTGGTCTTATAGAATATTTTAAACCATCTGCTTTTAATTACTTTTTTCTCCTGTCAAAAAGCTAATGTTTTGTAACTGGTTGAGTATGATATACAAAAAAAAAAAAAAAAAAAAAAAAAAAAAAAAAAAACCCTGAGAACTTCTCTTTCTATTAATTGTGTTTCTTCTTCCTTGTCTGGCGCACAATCATTTCTGCTTTGGGGACAAAACTATTAAAACTCTGGGAGGGACGATTCGTGTCTTGTACATAATTTAGAATCTAGTCAATCTGCCAGTCATGAATAATCTCAGCTTCTAGCAAAGGTAATGAAATCCCTAAATACCATCGTGCAATTGCGATATGACGTGCCCCATTATAAATATTCTTGTCACTATGCAACAGCTGGTTGTTAGGCAATTCAGAAGCAAAGAAACTGATAAGTTCTTCTTGAGAATACTAGTTGATTAATTCCACCGTTATCACAACGCTGGCTTCCAACCTATCTCCGCATTAAATTATTAATCTCATTGCACCAGTCTATAAAATAAAAATGGAAAAGGAGTAAAATACATTAACCATGTAATTATATTTATCTGCTGCTGTTTTAAGAAATCAGGAGACAGAGAGAGAGAGACAGACAGAGAGAGGGGGGGGGAGGGAGGGAGACGGACAGACAGACCAGATTTTATTTTATATTTACTGTTCTGATATAGAGGTGACATGATAGCAGTTTTCCAATATATGAAGGGCTGTCACAGATAAGAGAAGGGTCAAGAAGTCATGGATGGAAACTTTTTAAGGAGAGATCCAGCTAGAACTAAAGAGGAATTTACTGTCACTGAGAACAATTAATCACGGAACAATTTTGCCTTCAGAAGTTGGGGAGTACTCTCACTGGAAGTTTTTAAGATGAGATTGGACAGTCATTTGTCTGCAGTGATATAGGGATTCTTGCTTGAGCAGGGGGTTGGACTAGAAGCCCTCAAAAGTTCCTTCCAACTCTGATATTCAGTATTCTTAATTTTGAGACCGGTGTGTAGTTTCTAACTATACACCTTCCTTTGTGCTGCTATTGTAATAACAGCATGTTCGAATATACGCAAATGCAATCCACCAGCAGTCACTCCTTTCAGTTGATCTCAACTCAGTATAATCTTCCTATTTTCCAAGTCACTGCTACACCCAAAAACAGACCAGGTAAAGTAGGAGAATATGCATATATTTTTATACAATTGAGCAACATCTGTTTCAAACACAGAGGCAAGCTAGGTTCAAATCCATCTTTAGTTTTAGTAATAGAGGTAATTATGGGATAAAATGATGGGGAATCCTTCTCTTCATCTCTCTCTCCTAGAGAGAACTTGATATGTAATAAATCAAATAATTGGTCAACAGTTCCACAGCATATCAGGTGTCATATTCCAAGTGAATTGTTCACTTTGGGAAGAATTTCAGAAAATCCAATGGAAGTCTCCATAAAGCCAGCCCTGTTAGTAGAGTTATACCTCCCTCCCTACTACTCTTCTTGTAACTCTAATGGTATATTGCTAATACTAGTTTACAAATGCATAACTTTTCCTATATACTTTTCTGTAGCTACCTAACCAATAACTAGAAATCCATGAAATCAGAAAGCATTAAAAACTTTTAGGAAAAGCAAGATATATCACAGGACTCCCCTATCAAAAGATTATCATAGCCAATAAGAGGAAAAGCCAAAAAGAGAAATATATATTATAGTTATAGTGATCTGGATATCCAGAAGAACCTTTATCTTTATCTGGAATTAGAATAGCTGATAGTTTAATATGTAATGCTTTTTTTAATATATTTTAGGTTTTCTAAATCTTGCCTTGAAGCAAATGTTCAAAAGTCCCACCAAATAGTTCCAACCAGTAGAAAGTTTTTACTATGAACTGTATTATAAAGCCTTTATTTATTCAATATAAAACAAGTATTATATACTTCTATTCAAAAAGTAGAAGAAATCTAAGTTTATAAGTCAATTTAAAAGAACGTCCACAAGCATTTTTAAAAGCAGTACAACCTCCAAGTTTGGAAGGCAAGTCTTTTCTTACCAGATGGGCTCCCTAGTCAGAATATTTATAGCTTTTTCTTTTACTCAGTAGGGTCACTTCCTCAAGATAGATATCAAGATACTTATTTCATGTGTTTTTAATTGCTGTTAAGTAAAACAGACATGGAACATTAAAAGATGGATTATAGTTTTCCTTTGTTCCAGATCCTTATCAGACCACAGCAGGTGCATACTTATCGTGATGCAGTTTAAATGAGTCACCATATGTATAATCATAGCTGTAAAACTAAATGCAGCATTAAAATTATTTTAATAATATATATGAAAGCTGGTTATCTCAGTATTAGAATGTTGGTATGACCTGGTGGAGGAAGAAAGAGTTATATTCGTACATTCTACGGGTGCTTGTCTTGAGAGACTAATGTTAGCCGTGTTCTTGTTTCATCACAGGAAGCATAAGAGTGGAAGGAAGCATCCCATTGTAACTCTACCTAGTGGGGCATTTTAATTGACTCTGAAGTCATTAATCAGCTCCCAATCAATCTATTCTACCAACAGCAGGCAGTTACATGTCCATTACCTTCCATTTATCATGCCATCACCTAATTCACTGCACCATTAGCCAGAGATTAGGTCTCAGCATAACAGCATGAGTTCCCCACCCTTCAAAGACTCCTGTCACTCACCTCAGCCACTGGGATTCCTTCAGGTGGGCGACACTGGAGTAGGACTTCTTGTTCCAAAGATACTTCCTTTCCTAATGGTTCCTGTTCAAAAGTTTTCCGTAAATCTAGGATGGGAGGAAAAACATATTTACTTATATTATTTGTTATGGTTAAAGACAGAGATTTTGAAACAAAACTTCTGCAATTGGACTAATACATGGATTGCAGTTTTTAAGTTTTGTGAGACTGTTTCTAAGGAAGAAAGAAAGAAAAAAAGAAATAAGGGAGGCAGCGAGGAAGGAAGATTTGTTGCAAAATGGAATGGAATTGTGGTTCAGTAGACTGAACTGGTGTAGACCAGAATATGATTGATCCAGCCTTTCCTAATTAGAATACCAGTAAAGCACCAACCATTAAGGTGATGGGATGGCCATGTATCAAGAAAAGTAGCATTTTTAATGAAAGATCTCCATTATACCCTGCTATGACTACCTTATTAATGGAGAGTGGTATCTTAGGCAATATGTTTTGCTCCTACTGCCCTGCACTTAGCTTTATAGGAATGAATTCCAGTTATTACTTGTACCAGACAAAGTAAGAGAAGGGGAAGGAAAGATTTAAGGACTAAGGCAGTTTGAGGATAAATTGCTCTTTGGCTTTTTTATATAAATATTTTATTAATTTTCCAATTTTACAATCATGAGTACTTAATAAACAATGTGTTGTCTGGGTCCATTGGTAATTCAGTGGTACATATTAACTTTCTCAGTCTAGTTCCAATACTACACCATCCAGTGCTTCCTTGATCCTCTCTTCTTCTGGTGGTATGCATTTTTCCACACTGGGCAAATACAATTCTTATTACTGTTAATTCATGTACAATTAAATATAGACATCTTCATCACATTTTTCTGGTATTATATATAATATTGATAGTGTCAGTTTATAATATCTTTTCTAGCCAAAACATATCTCAATTGCCTTTGCACTTAAAATCCATTTGTTCAATAAATATCTTGTTTTTCCCACTTTTTAAAAAAATTAATTTCCCATCAATGTTCAAAATATCTCTTACTGCTTATAATTTTCTCATAATAAATTATATTTGGGTAACCAAAGGTTTCTCTTATTCAAACCCTTTTAGAGTTTTCAAATTTCCCATCTTATAACAAAGTATAATATTCTAGTTATAAATCCTATCCTTCTAATTATAATATTTTTATTTCTAACAGTTATCTATTCTCTTAACCATATTCAAACATTTGTTTAATAGTATAATATCCCATCTAATAGGTCAAAACCTCTATTTTCTTTAGCTTTCTTCCTTTGCCAAATAACTTTCCAAGTCAGTGCATTTGAATCAAGTAATTCTTCCTCTGTTTTTGTATATATTGTTTGGAATGAGGAAGACAATTTGACTGAAGTATTTTTGGAAGAATGCTCAACCCATTTATATTTATTAAACAGCCTCCATCCTTCTCCTTCAGTTTTTCTTTTCATTTCTTGTTTGTCAATATTCAGTATTTCTCCTAACAGCTTTATCATCCGTTTAATCAGCTCTTCTTCCTTATCCTCAAATGTGTTCTGAGATCTTGACAAGTAAGATATCTTTTCCATTTCCAATGTTATCACTGCATCTTCTAATTTTTCATTTTTCTGTGTCTGTCTGTTAATTCCTTCCTTTAGGTCCTCCATCTTTGGATCCGTTTCTTCTAATTTTCCTTCTGTTTTCTGGGTTACTACGTCCTTTCTTACTAGTTCCTCCTTACTAGTCATTGTCTAGATTTGTAAGTTTAGATTAGAAAAAGTGCAGCACTTTGTGATCAGTTTTTCTATAGGGTTCAATGGTATGTGGACAGTAGACAAAGTTAAGTTCAAGGGGCTCATTGTTTAGAACTGGCCCAACCATCATAAAGAATAAAGCAATTGCCTTGGATTGCAAATGACAATATAGATAGAGTGGCACCCTTACCCTATGCCAGGGGTAGGCAACCTTGGCTCTTTTATGACTCGTGGACTTCAACTCCCAGAATTCCTGAGCCAGCTATGCTGGCTCAGGAATTCTGGGAGTTGAAGTCCACGAGTCATAAAAGAGCCAAGGTTGCCTACCCCTGCCCTATGCCCTGAGACTCACCTCCACTTTTAATATTTTTCTTTTTCAGTCAGTGCTTAGCTAGAAGAAATTTTATTTTGCCCAGGTACTTTCCTTTATGATGTCATTGACAGTATTTCTGTATATGTGTGAGCAGAAAGGCACAAGGACAAATGGTCCAGCGGGACAAATACCTACAGTATGTGTTGTTCAGTTCCCAGGATACAAATTGCTGCACTGCAGCATTCATTGCTACAACCAGTCAGCAGTGTCAATGGAGAAATGAACAACTAGCAAGAAATTAGAGGGCAAAGCAATTAGCCTGCTGCCTGCAAATGTGTAGTTGGAACTGTTCTGTATTAGCTTAATCTGCTGTTGAATTTATGTTCTGCTACCAGCCAACTTGGGTTAAAGGGCTGGATGGAAACAAATCAAGGAGAGAACTAACCTAGGACTATGGAGAAATTTCCTGACAGTTAGAAAATTTAATCAGTGGAATGGTTTGCCTTCAGAAGTTGGTGCTCCATCACTGGAGGTCTTCAAGAAGAGATTGGACAAACATTTGTCTGAAATGATGGAAGGTTTTCTGCCTGAGCAGGGAGTTGGACTAGAAGACCTCCAAGGTCCCTTCCAACTCTGTTATTCTGTATTCTGTAATTTTGAGACTGGTGAGTAGTTTATTCTGGACTGAAAACTCCTGAGTTTAAACCCACAGTCAATGACTCGGATCAGTTCCTTTTTTAGCTCAGTTTATGACACACAATTGTTGGAGGAATAAGATAATGGGAGATAACCCCCTCCTCTTATATGAATTTGAATTTCAGGGGGAAAGGTAGAAAATAAATGCAATAAATAAAATGTCCTTTTTATTCAGGCATAAAATATGCTAAAATCCCTTCACTGCTTCACACAGCTTGCATTTCTATATATAGAGAGATTATTACGGCACTATGCTATTTTAAACTTAAGATGACAAAGAGAAAAATACAGTAATAATTGCAGTAGCAATAAAGAACATCAAGAAAATAAACTAGGAACATTTATATTTACTGCAGTGAAAGAAAAAGGAGTATACTTGGAATAGATAAAAATCTAAGCTAGTTCTTGGAGTCTGGTTTTAGCTCTCTAAAGCATTAATTTAAACTTGAATTTAATGTACATGTTTTTAATCTTCTCTGTTCCTAACATACTATGTTTACGAAGGAATCATTCTAGAAACAGCTTCATTAACTTGTAGCAGTGATAATTTGTTGTTACTGCTTCCTAACACCCTAAACTCTCTTCTGTCTGCTGAAAAAACTGACACAGGTAACCACAGATAACATTTTCCCACACACACACTTTGGAAGGAGTTTCTTTTCGTTTTCTTTATTGCTATCAGCATGGAATGATGTGGTTTTAACACTTGAAATGACACCAGGACTGTCCACCAGGTCAGTGATCTATAAACTAAATAGACGTCTAATATCAACTGGCACAATAAGCTGCAATGTCCTTAAAGTACCCATTGGAGAACATCAAGTGAATAATACCCCTTTTAAAGAAAGGGTGTAATTGTGTATTTACAAGGCAGCAGAGTTTGTTGGTTGCTTCCTTTTGCAAACTTAGAATGGTAGCCCACTAATCCACTACATCAATGTTTCTCAACCTTGATAACTTTGAGATTTGTAGACTTCAAGTCCCAGAATTTTCCAGCCGGTATGCTGGCTGGAGAATTCTGGGAGTTGAAGTACATTCATTTTAAAGTTGCAAAGGTTGAGAAACACTGCACTACATTAACAGACACTGATTAGCTGTGAAATATGCTTATTGGAGGCAATTCCATTATATATAAAACAAGTACAAAAAAGAGGTAAGAAGGTTAGTAAATTTATTGTGGATGTACAACTACAAGTCTGTGTACTATGCAGAAGTCATGTTCTCACTATGATTCCAGTCTTTTGCCTACTATGTGCTAAACAAAATCTCTTTTTGTCTAAAAGAAAGGTCCCCAACCTTTTGGGCGCCAGGGACTGGTTCCGTGGAGAGAGGTTTTTCCACAAACCGGGGGGTGCAGGTTTTTGTGTGTTGCCTGCATCTCATGGATGGGGCTTTGCTTGTTTGTGCAGCCCAGTTGCTGGCATGCCGCGGCCCAATACTGGTCCACAGACCAGGGGTTGTGGATCCCAGGTCTAAAAGGAAGGTATGATTTTTTACCACAATTTATATAATGAAAGAATTGCTTACAGTGTAGAAATCAACATTGGAAGTTGATTTTTTTCCCCCATTTTCTGTTGAAACTTTTAAAATCCAGATCCAATATTTCCTTCCAGGGTTCATGTGATCTGTTATGATTATTGCACTGAATGTATTTGCATATCTAAAGTACTTTCCCCCCAAACTGGTACCCTACAGTTGTGTTGGGAAATCAGAGATGCTATGGAGAATTCTAGGAACTTCAGTGCAAAACTCTTGGAAGGTGCATCAGCCTGCAGATAGCCAAGTTCAGAATAAGTTTTTGTAAATACAAACCTGTGCCTGAAAACCTCCAAACAACAGTGAGATTCAACTCATTGTTCATGGCATAAATTAAAAACAAACCAAAGTTCTCTTTTTAAAAATATGCAGTTCAATCTCACCTTACTTATATTTACTTTATCAGAGAACTCATCAACAGTTCTTCCATTAATTTTCATTAAAATAATTTTAATAATTTAAAAATATCCTGGCATTAAATTCACTAAAATTAAAGTGGTTGACTGAATACTAAGTCATTTCACATATAGAAATCTTACTATTAAAATATTGATCCAGTGCATTTTAATAGTTCCGTAGTTTGGATCTTTCAAGGTGTGTTAAACATATCCTCCCTAACCAGCATGCCATCTGTCACAACACCTGAGGAAAGACACATCTTCAAGCCCTCAACTTAGGAACATTCCCTAGTAAGCTTAAGAAATACAAGAAGCAATCATATTTCTGAGTTAATCTATTCCATTTAATAATATATAGGAAATCTCAATCTTACAAAAACACACAGTTATATCTCTGAGA